CACAGTGACATGTAGAAACGATTGTCGGGCCATTGGTGCCCTTTGTAGGCTTTTGATATAATGTGTATGTACATTTTATAGTTTATAATACATTATGTTAAGTTTTGTTCAACAGAACCATATTGTTACGTGCTTTTGATACTTTATTTGAACCAATTTTTATGGCCTCATTGTGATCATGTATGTATTTCAGGTCATTTTTAAAGGCTATTGTTTAATTAGGCCTATTTTTCTACCATAAATATAAATTATAATTATCAGAATAATCAACAGATAACTCTGTTACCCAATTAATTGTTAGTGACGGCCTTAGATGAGGGGTTGTGAGCCACTGGAGGTGGCCCCAAGGCAACAGCATTTGGTGGGATGGGCAGTGATGTTGCTATAAAAGAGAATATTGTGATTTTAAATGAAGTTGAGAGCTGTGAGGGAGAGGAGCAGGGGCCACAGTTGCTGGGGGAGGCTGCCTCACACTTAATACCTTGGGGTTGAGGTGGGAAACTGAAAGAAGCGTAAGAGAAAAAAAATGGAGGAAAAGAAAGAGATGTGTTGCGAGCAGAGGCAGCCTCACGCTAGTGTCTACTATGGGAGCTGGAAAAAGGGGTTATTAGTAGCAGTGTTGGGGGTAACGCGTTACAAGTAACGCGAGTTACGTAATCAGATTACTTTTTTCAAGTAACCAGTAAAGTAACGCATTACTTTTTAATTTACAAGAGAATATCTGAGTTACTTTTTCAAATAAGTAACGCAAGTTACTTTTTTTTCCTAATTGATTGATTGACAGCTCTCCTGTCCACATGTTGAGAGAAATCAGATGTTACTGTAGATCTAAAATAAATATGAATATGCATTAATTAATCTCACTCACAAAAAAAAACTGATTCAGTATTCCTCAAAATGAATTCAAAAAATGCAACTCAGAATATAACGCAAACCTGCAATAATTAAATGTTAAACAACACAAATATGCTTTATGTATTTAATCCCATTCTATTAACCAATGTCTTTGCTTCTGACCTTCGATGATCCAGTTCAACCATACTAATAAGCAAAATATAAAATCTAACTTTTTTTATTTTAAAAACAAACAAGCAAGCCCTGTCCAGATTTAAAAAGTAATGCAAAAGTAACGTAACGCATTACTTTCCATAAAAAGTAACTAAGTACCGTAATTAGTTACTTTTTTATGGAGTAACGCAATATTGTAATGCATTACTTTTAAAAGTAACTTTCCCCAACACTGATTAGTAGCGGGAGGAAAAAGACAGATGTGTGGGCCTGTGTTGCAAGCGGAGGCAGCCTCGTGCTTGCTTCACCTGCTGTAGCTGTAGGCCACGGGAAGGGAGTCCTGAAGAACCGGTGTAGCCTGCGCTACTAACGGAGGCAGCCTCACGCTAGCGTTTACTATGGGAGCTGGAGGTCTCTGAAAATGAAAAGGTTAAAAGTAGCAGTGGGAAAGACTGAGATACAAGGGCTCGTGTTGCAAGCGGAGGCAGCCTCATGCTTGCTTCGGCCGCTTTAGCTGTAGGCAGTGGGAAAGGGTAGTGGTTTGTGACATTTGAGGGAAATGCTGAAATGCCAGAGTAGCCTGCAGTGTTGCTGATTTAGCAATTTCTCAGACTACCCTAGCAACTGGTTTTCCAAAGCACATAGTAACGAATTTACCCATTTAAAAATGTCAGCTAGAGACTTGGAGAGAGGTGCCTAACAATAGTCACGTCACATGTGAATTAGGTTGCTAGTTGCACTTGTTCAATAATAATAGTTTATTTTATGATAAAGCTAGTTGTTAGTTTGTCTATAATCGTTAATCATTTAGGTACATAGTTGAACTTATTTTCTCGAAAATCAATCTTTTTCATCCATTTATCTGAGTGAAATGTGTAGTTTAAAATACAGGTAAAAATGCTATCGAAAATTCAGAAAATCCAAGTAATTTCTTTGTATATTCTATGCAGTTTGCATCATGGTTACAAAATCCTTTTGTCACAATGTCGTGTAACAATTTTTAGCAACAAAACGACCTGCTTTTTAGCAACTTTACCTAAAAATTAATTAACACGGCCTGCGTCGCTAGCGGAAGCGGCCTCACGCTAGCGTCTGCTACAAGAGCTGGCGCAATGATATTACGCAGCGCCTGAAAATAGGCTTATTGGAAGTTACCTAGCTGGGCACTATTTTCAGGCGCTGTGTAATATCATTGCGCCTGCTGCACCCATGGTACGGCAGCAAAGTTCCTTAATTATTACGCCGGAATGAGAGTATAGTTCCTAGACATATCGGCCTAGAAAATCGCAACTTTTAATTTTCCGTCGGCCTTAGTACATGATGTAACTACAGAAGAGTCAAGTTTAAAATAGGAAAAATATCGAAACTCTTTGGTCATTTGAGCGAGATGCTAACGGTCTAATCAGATTCAATGATCTATGCTAAGCTACAGCTAAAAGTGCTACCGGAGATCGGCTGAATGGATTCGAAAACGGTAAAACTCAACTGTTTAACTCTAGGGGAGTTGGAAAATGAGCCTATTTTCAAAAATAGTGGCGTGTTCCTTTAAGGAGAGCCGGGTCTTGTGCGGGGCGATGGTGGTGTCGAGCGAGGCGAGTTTGGGGCCTTGCAAACTTTGCTCAAAATATTGCCCGCTCTGCTGGAGTAGATTTAGGAGTGAAGTTGGCTGATTGCTGGAAGACGAATAAAAGATCGTATAGATCCGCTTTGTTTACCCTTCGCGAGGACGGTGCATCGGAATTAATCAGCGTTTGCCTCAGGCTTAAATGTGGTCCACTTCCGATTGGAGGAATTGTAGGCACAGCCGAAAGATAAGAGAATGCCAGGGAAAAAAATTGGAAGTGACACCGGCAGAGGTGAGGTTAAGCCTCGGCGTCGTGGAGAGCGTGTGGCTGGTCGAGCAGAGAGCAGCAGTCGCGATGAAGCCTGGAGCTCGGCGGCGGTGTCTGGCAGAGAAGGAGCGATCCTGGGGCCGGCAGATTGGCCGGAGACCGTCTCGTCATTTAGATGGGAGAAGCTGAGTCTGAGATATACAGTACTGGCAAAAGGTGCAAACCGAATGCTGATAAACCATCAAAGGATAGAGGTAAGTCCGCTGTATTTATACCATGGTGTTGATTAACTTGAGTGCTCTACCTGTGTTAATTAGGCTAAGTATCTGATGCGCTCCTCCCGAACCTTGTTAATAAAACATCATATATTCTCAGGCATTGTAAAAATTATTCTAGATAGAGAGAAATTAATTTTAAGAATAATTGTCAAATTAATCTATATCAAAGATTAAATAATAAATACAATATTAATACTTATTGTAAAAAATATTCTGTCTTTCAGGAAATATCCTAGTGCATCTATTTTTTTCTTTTTGTCTCTTTCTCTTATTCTTATGTATCTAAATCTATTGCAGGTATGTGTGTATTCCTGGTTTAGTGAGAGTATGGTGAGTATCTTTAGTGCAGCAGTCAAGGGCCCAGAATTGCACTAATAGTGAGAGGCTCACATGTGCATGTAAAAATCAATTAGACTGAAGAGTCTCCCTCTCCATTTAGCCTTTATTACCATCCCCCCCTGCCCTCTTCCTCTCTCAAGGAGGATGAAGTAAGAGGAATATCCCATGTCCTTTGTTAAATGAGTACCCTGCAGAAAAGGGATTTCCTCTCTGCTGTAAGTGGAGTGGGAAACGGGGAGAGTCCCACAGCCTACCAGAAGACCGATTTTATACTGTGATTTTTCATTTCTGAGCACGACGGTATGTATTAAGCCTATAAGATCATGTTGTTTTCTCTAAAAGAGTAAAATGGTGGAAGCTGGTAGTATTCAAATACTTGACCAATTCTTGACTATCAAAAATCGATGGTGTCTTGAATTCTCCCCCTTGAGTTCATAAATTAGCCATTTGTCAGGAGGGCCAGATTGCTAGAGGGAGTAAGAAAAAGGCCAACTATTATGTAAAACACGAATGTGAGAAGATTTAATGACCAAAATATCACATTGTTAAAGAAAGATGAATACTGCTAAGATGAAAAACCTGCTGTCAGTGAGGAGTCTTTTAGCCATTAAAAATATAAGCTTGCATGATTATTTTACTTTGCACTACTTAACCTCTTAACCTGCACCGACCCACTGAAGGGCATGTTTAGGTGTGTCTGTACTTTTAATTACCTTTGTTTTATAAAAAATACTCAATCAGCTATCATAAACTATGCATCAAGATAAAACTTCTTCTGAAGTTGTTTTTGAAATCAATACACCAGAGAGGAAAGGGTTAAATGACATGCTGAAGGACCTTGCATAGCCCTTGCGTAGAATAATTTAGTAATATTAAATATTTGAATTCTCAGATCAGTACATTTTTGGTCTGTGGAAAATATTTGACATAATTTGGGAAAAAACTGAACTGGTTTCAGAAAGATAAATAAGTCATAATAAATGAATGAATAAATAAAGAATGATAAATAAATATTTTACATTTTAGTCCAAAAGCAAAATTGTTTATTCATTCAACACTTTTATTGCCATAAGTGCTGCTTTTTTTAACGATACATGTAAAATACCATTTATTTTCTCTTTTCTATCTCCTTCCTCTACTTCCATTTTTTTCTCTTTCTCCTTTCCGTCCCTTCTCTTCTCGAAGTGTCATGCTAACCCATATCAGCAAAGAACACCTGCTCACACCATTGCTTTCATAATGACATAAATCCCTCTGTTCTTCCTTCTGTCCAACCCTCCTCTAATCTTCCTCTTTACATTATACTTTTCTGTGATCCAAAAATCCACGACTCTGTGAACTGCATGTCTCAATACAAAACCATAAAAAAAAAAGTTTTTTCATTAACTGGCACACTTATTTCACAGTTTTAGGTCATAGAAGTCTTGAGTGTTCCAGTCTGTTTAAAATAAAAAATAAAGAATGATAAATAAATATTTTACATTTTAGTCCAAAAGCAAAATTGTTTATTCATTCAACACTTTTATTGCCATAAGTGCTGCTTTTTTAACGATACATGTAAAATACCATTTATTTTCTCTTTTCTATCTCCTTCCTCTACTTCCATTTTTTCTCTTTCTCCTTTCCGTCCCTTCTCTTCTCGAAGTGTCATGCTAACCCATATCAGCAAAGAACACCTGCTCACACCATTGCTTTCATAATGACATAAATCCCTCTGTTCTTCCTTCTGTCCAACCCTCCTCTAATCTTCCTCTTTACATTATACTTTTCTGTGATCCAAAAATCCACGACTCTGTGAACTGCATGTCTCAATACAAAACCATAAAAAAAAAAGTTTTTTCATTAACTGGCACACTTATTTCACAGTTTTAGGTCATAGAAGTCTTGAGTGTTCCAGTCTGTTTAAAATAAAGCTGACCATGATCTGTAGACGATATATATTTATAATACTTCTACTGTGTGTTTGAATTAGATGAGATACTGTTTCAATATTTTAAAAAAGCATTGAGAGTTGAACTGACTCAGACAGGTAGGAATGATCGGAAACACTTGGACTTTTAGTTTTACTAAGAACACTCAGTTTTGTTTTAAATAGATAATCTGGTGGTTTATTTGAAGATAATCTGGTGGTTTATTTGAAGAAGGGATCATAAGGACAACAGTGTGACACTGCAGTGAGATCTGTGTAGTGAGTACACATTCACAGGATGTGAAAATTATTGCATTTATTGCTAATGCAACACCTCTACTTTCCCTCTCATTTTTTTCTTTGCAGCCTTTTCACCTGGAAAAGGTGATAATTATCTTCCCTTATTTTATCTTGATTGGTGAAGCGTTAAAATCAGTGAGGTTCAGCCCTTCAAGATGTCTAGACATAATCAAGTCCCTTTTTTTGTCTGCATTTATCTATCCATTCAAACTGCCATACTTAGTCACATAGCTTTATCTTATAAAACAATATGTGCACAGTTTGTGAATTTCTGCAAGAAAATATTTTTTTCCTCAATTTCTTCATATTTCTATATGTTCCTCAACTATTTCTCACCAGTGATGTCTCTTATGCCAACATACTTCTGTTCCTTTGCTACATAAATAACTTTGAAACAATATATAAATCAATTTGCGCTAATAAAAAAACAATTGGACTGAACTTATATAAAAAACACGCATCAGCAGCACTAACAAAATCAGTTTCTATTTAGCTTAGTAGGAGCCAATGCACTTCATTCATTGCTAAAAATAACTTAGTTTTCAATCTAAAAAAATACACTATCCATATGATGATAGTTGTCTACTCTGTATCATACTAAATATTCTTTCAGCAAATTAAATTTTTTTAGTTTAAAAACCTGTGTGACATTATATGCAAAATAACAGTGTGAGTGTGTGGCTAATATCACACAGTTCATTTGTCAAATAATCCTCTTTTCTTCATTATGTTTTTGTTCTTTGGAGATTCTCAACATTGTTTAGTTGTTATTATTGTGATTCCCCACGTATTTTACAAGGGATTCTAAGTCCTGCATGGGGTGGCGACATTATAGGTGCCATCCTCCAGAAACTCATCTTCGCTTAGGCTTATATGAAGGCAGGTGTCATTGACAGGCGAAGAGAACGGGATGGTTTGCTCATATCCCAGCGGTGTGGTAGAATGCAGTGGGGTCACACCATCCACAGCTGGATGATCCTCTGGTAAGCTGCTGCAAGTACTGGAAGTGGAGATGAACACAGAGCTCTGGTCATCAGAGGGGTCGTCTCTGGATTGGGGGGATATAAGGGATTTGTCATCCGAGCGCACACCAGAATCATCACTGGCTGAACATGACACACTGTTGCCGTTGGTGTGAGAATATAAATCCCCATGTGAAATGGAGCATAGAGTCATGTCAGGAAACGAGGAGCTACCACTCACATTTGTGAGTACGTTTCCATTGACAGGTGCGGCTACAGCTGAAGATCTTGACTCTGCTTCGACACCCTGAGAAAGTGTCCTGCTTGAACGCTTGCGGTTCAGGGGCTGAGGAGGAGGGTCCAGTTTAGGGATGGTTTGTTTATACCTACAGACAAAAAAGGAAACAAATTTTGTCAGTCAGTGGGCTTGTCTGGGTAAAAATATTGTATAAAAATATTGACAACGAATAACATTACATAACATGAAAGTGCTACAGGACAGCTGTCCTAACCAGGCACAATGCAGCAGTCTGATTTGTAAACAAATGAGTGTTTTGAACAATTTTACATGAAATAATAATTTTCAATCTGCTTCCTGATTGAATGTCGGGGGCGTGTTGCTAGTTCAGTTCTCCATGTGAGTCAGTGTTATTCACACCAAGAAAAGAAGGAGCAGAAAATTAGGAAATTATTAAAAGCAATGTTGTTATTGTTAACTAAAACTGTTAAAATAGCTTTTATTGATTAAAATAAAACTGAAATATAAATATTAGATGAAATTTGAACTTTAAAAAAACTTACTTTTTTTTTAAATGTTTATAAAAATAAAGCTAAATGGAAATTTGTAAATTACAAAATCATTAAAATTAAAACAAAAACTGAAGGCATAAAAATTAAATGCTAATTCAAAATATTATTAAATAATACATGTATATAACTAATACTAAGATAACACTGATTAAAAGTAATCTAAGGTTGTTATTAAAACTAAAAGTATAAATAATAATATTATATATATATATATATATAATATATATACTATATATATATATATATATATACTGTATATATATATTTTTTTTTTTTTTTTTTTT